TGTCTCATCTGTGCAGTGAATAAAATGTAAATCGTAAAGGTATTACAAGCAATAAAAATATTAAGACAATATACACACACACACACACACACACACTCACACATGCTAGACTCATTGATCAGGGGTGGTGTAGAGCCCACAAATACAAAAATTACCACAAATAATTTTTTGATAAATATTATCATCCCGCAAATGTCAAAATAACAACAATTTTTTTTTTAATGGCCCAAAAGTGAAACATCGGATTAAATACAAATGTAAAAACATTTCAGCTACAAATGTAAAATTTTTCTTTTTACCTCAAATGTCATTATGTCAGCAACAAATGTAAAAAAAAAAACTCATATTAAAATAAGTTATCAGATGTATGCGTGTGTTTGTGTGAATGTATGTGTGGATCTCAGTTTATCAATATCTATATATACCTTCCCAAATATCTTACCTATGATGAAAATGTTGAATGTACAGTACCCAGTGTTGTCATAATTGTCAGTAGCATTGCAAGTGACAGTAGTGTTGTATTCAGAGAATGTTGCTCCACTCATGTAATCACAAATTGGTGAAAAAATATCTCCAGAGTTGTCTGTGACATTCGGTGCGGCCCACGTTGCAGTTGCCATACAGTCAGAATCACCGGTTACATTTTGGTTTGGTGGACATTCAAGCATCGGTGCTTCATTGTCTGATAGAGAGCAAAATGTCATTAATTGAACGTGTAGTAAGCTCTAGAGTGGTCAGCAGTTTTCTCTTCTATGTCTTGAATCTGGGTTCAAATCATTTGACACAACAGAAGTTTTCCCACCTCTAAACCCAACTTTACTTGCTAAGATGCCTACTACCCACTTAGTTTATAGGATATCACATTGTTTCATACTGTATTTGCAACACTTTTTTACTTTTTGGTTGTGAAAAGCATTAAACATACAATATAAACAATACTATTGTGATGTAGATGGATTACAGGCCAATTATTTAATAATATACAGATATTGCCTGCTTAGAGGTGTAATATAACATTTAATATCCCCGAGGGAATTATATTTTTTTCGAAGGATTATATTTTCCCGAAGCGCGTAGCGCTGAGGGAAAATATAGTCCTGAGAAAAAAATATAATTCCCAAGGGGATATCAAATGTTATTATTACACCGATAGAAAGGAAATATCTGTTATATTACATAGCCAAAAATAGATGCAAATAATTAACTGAACACATTAGTTTAAATATCAAGAACTTTTATTTAACTTTTACACAATATCTGTCATATTACATAGCCAAAATACTTTATATTGCCATCACTTTTTTTGTCTGTTGTAGTCCGTAGCGTAGCGTTATCATTGATCGTTTAGCCTACAATTCACCGTTTGCTCTCCGTACCTCAGCGTAGAATAACCGGAGAAACGTAACTCGTTGAGCTCCGTTGCTGTGAAATTTTCAATGCAAGTAGGCTAGGCCTAGGCCTAATGTGATGATTCCTCGGCATTACAATATTCACTGAGTGGGCCTACATTAACGGATGAATTCACAACAAATTTTGTACACCGAGAACCCTTTTCGTCAATAATTCTATACAATTCGTCTCCGTCGAGAGATTTAAACTTATTTGAAGCCGCCATTTTCGAGGCGCTAGGCTTTCCACATTCACAATTCGTGAGCGATTGATCGTGCGCTCGACTAGCATTCTACGGGCGCAATGCGAGTGTAATCCGGTGACGTCAGAGACCGGTCACTTTTCAAAGTTATATTTCCCTACGGGGAAATATAACGTTTCCGATCCTCGTAGTGCTCACGTACTCGTATTTACATAGGATATGTAATATGTATATACAGTATATGTATATATAGAGATCACAAGCCGTCAAGTATTGACCGCTTTTGATCTGTCGGATTCCACTATTGTATATTACAGCATTAACTATTAGATTATTGGCTTATAATCCGTCATCACAATAGTATTGTTTACATTGTACAGTATACAACTTGCAACAGCCAATCTTGCTCATTCAGTAAAGCTGATGAAGGCCAGAGGACAGGCCGAAAATTTCATTTGAAAATAAATACACTGTTCTATAGTCTACATGACACATATAAATTAAGATATAAAATGAATATATATTTTCACCTATTAATTAGGAATTATAATAAATAACTTGAAGTACCTTCAACATCAATAATAAAGACACATTCATTCTGATTTCCATAGCAATCTACTGCTGTAAAAAGAACTTCAGTAACTCCAATGCTAAATTCAGTGCTATTTGTGGCATTGTAAGACTCAATAATTTCATCTTCACAACAGTTATCAGTAGCGATGGCAGAGGTCCATGACACTAGGGCGGTATTAACACCTTCGTCAGTATCAACAGTAATATCGTCTGGACACATCACGTGAGGAGAAGTTACATCTATTAAAGAATAAAAGGTAATCACAAGAAATTTTGTAAAAATGCAAACCATATGTATGTTTATTCTATTCAATAGCTAGGTTCATATGGGATTATAGCCAGATGAAGTAGCTGATCTACTTGCCAAGTTAATTGGATTAAATCCACTAATCGCGTTCGACGTTAAGGTTTAGAGCGAGATATTTTGACTACCAGAAA